CATAATATCATCATCAGTTTTTTTTTAAACATAATATCCAGCCAGATGTGCCAATTTATACAATAGTTCATTTTTCAAATTAAATTAAATTTTATTGAAAACAAGGTAAATTTTGCCGACTTTATTGAGACCTAGGAAATTTTTTTATCTTCAACAATGTTTGAAAATGAAGATCATCTTTAACCATAATTAATGAACACCACTTAATGATGGAGTCATTTCAGGGTGAAAAATATGTTTTAATGAGTTATTAAATAACAGTTTGATGTATTATTTTAATTTTGATTTTGATTTGTTACTTTAAAACAATAATAAAAAAATATTTGGTTGAAAATAGTTTTTTTTTTAACATAGATTTTTATTTACAGTAATAATTTTTATTAGTTGATCCTTTTTTTAACATCCAGTTAGATCTCCCTATTTATACAATAGGTAGTAAATATTTTTAACAAATTAAATTAAAGACCACAACAATTTTTTTTCCAATAACAAGTTCCTTTTTAAAATGTAATGAAAAATTCTATAGTTTTTTTATGTTACAAATCTAAAAAAAAGAAATCAAAATGTTTTGAATTGTTTATTTTTTTAATCATAAAAACTGTTCTGAAATTGAAACTGATTATGAATTGTTTCCTAATTATATGTGTGTGTATATAATGTGGTAGTGGTTATATGCTTGCTTTGTAAACCAAAGATAGAGAGTTAAAAACCCCACCACATCCCTAGTTGTACAGCATTCCACTTTTTTCTTAAACATTGGCCTTGATCATCAGTTGTTCATGTTTTGGATAAAATTCATAAAATAAAAGCTTTGAGAGGTTAATAAAAAAATGAGCTTCCCTGACTATAGTAGACTATAGGCTTGATGCTTCTGCTTGGGTGTTTTAGCCTGGTATTAAGGAGATTGGTTGTGATAAAGTAGTAAAACATTTATGTTGTTCTTAGAAACTTAACATCGCAATACATTAAAAAGATGGAATTCAATGTCATTGATTCGCTGAACATGAAACTTGTTCGTCAGGTTGGTTAATTTTTTTTATGATTTTATAGGTCAGAATTTTACAGGTCAGATTTTGCAGGTCAGAATTTTGTTTGGTTTTAATTGTATTTATATTAATATTTCAAATCATCTACTTTTTCTTGATCAACATTATCTATTTTATAATTTTATAGTTTAATGGTATATTAAAATTTATATTTGATATTTATTTAATGGTATATTAAAGTTTATATTTGATATTTATTTTAAAGATATATTAAATTATATTTAATATTTATTTTAATGTTATATTAAAGTTTATATTTGATATTTATTTTAATGTTATATTAAAGTTTATATTTGATATTTATTTTAATGTTATATTAAAATTTATATTTGATATTTATTTTAATGGTAAAGTTTATATTTGATATTTATTTTAATGGTATATTAAAGTTTATATTTGATATTTATTTTAATCTATTTAAGCTTAGAGCAAGTTTAAGTATTTGTATTTGTTGAGAATTTTCATCTCTGTTAGTTTATAATAGTATGGTATCTATATTTTATGGTATTTTTGACCAACATAGAATAGAAAACTTATTTTTTTTTTCTTAATCAATTCTTTACACCAAGTGAAATTCAAACTGAAATGATAATCAATAATTTGATCACTATCAGCATTTTAAATTCAAAAGCCCAACAAGTTATTAGAATGATTTTTTTATTATTGCAAGTTATCAATTTAGCTTTCAAAGTGTTTTTACAAGTAATTTTATAATCATTAAATAAAAATTATTTGTTAAAGATTAAATTGATTATTGAAAAAAGGTATAACATAATTGTTAACATGGTAACAGATAAAAAATTTTTAGCCAAATAGAGTTACAATATAGTATCAAACAGATCTCTTTAACTGTTACATAATCAGTCTTCTTATAACTAGTAGCAAATTTTTGAATCATTAATTAACAAACTTTTAATATTTTATTTTGGGTTTAATCTCTCTCTCTCTCTCTCTCTTTAAGATTTCTTGTAGATCTTCTGATTCTGCTGCTGACATAATAACCATTATAATAAAAAAGGCTCTATTGTAAATCATTGAGTTGAGTTAAGGACTCAACTCAATGATTTTCAATAGTTATAGATCTCTCATGAAAACTGCATATATACAATCTATTAGAAATTTAGCATCTGCAAAGGTTGCTTCTCTTTATTGTGCCCTCTTTTCTCTACCTCTATAAAAAATCTTTTTTCTCCTGTATGAAACACATATTTTATACAAGAAATATGTGTTTCATACACGAGAAACAAGAGATTTATAGAGGTAGAGAAAAGAGGTTATATTTCACACAAGAAGAAATTGGCAGCTAAATTGACCTGTTCTTGCTTCCATGCCTGATTTGCTGTTTCATCATCATAAGGAATATAAGCACCTCTCTTTTCTACAAATATAACCATGGTCAATGGTTTCATTTACCAAAACTCAATCTTGCATGACTTTTCATTCAGGTGCATTCTTTTACTGTAACTGTTCCTTTATGCTCAAAAAACATATTTTTTTTCCTCATACATGCTTCGGAATTCTTTCCGATCTTGATATTTTCCTGATAATTTACATTATTTTCATTGACTCATACAATTTTTACATAAACTCTTTTCATTGACTCATACAATTTTTACATAAATTCTTTTCATTGACTCACAGTTTTTATCTACGTTTCTACTGCTAAAAAAGGTTAAAACAGATATAGTTACAAACAAACAAAAAATTAAACTAAGAACAAAAAGAAAAAGAAATCAACTTAGTTACAAATGATCAAACTAGAAAAGTCCTAATAATCAATATCCGAAGTTTTTAACAACAAATATCGAACTTGGACATAAAGCGTTTAGTTTTATAGTATTTTCTAAGTTCTTGATTGGTTATAAAAAGTAATTTTTTTTTCTGTTATAAAATGTGGGATGTTTTCATGCAATATTTTTTTTACCTTTAATTAATTTTATTTTACCTTTACTGAATTTCCTTTTACCTTTACTGAATATTCTTTGAATATGAATATGAGTTTATTTATTCATAGTTAACTATACAGTTAACTATGAACTAATAGTTGACTATACAGGATTAGACATTTAAAAATAATTGAAATAATTAAAATGTTTTGAAAATAATTAAAGTGTTTTGAAAATAAGCAAACTAACAGTTCACATCACTTACTGCTTATAATAACAGTAACTCCATATTGCTTATTTGCTACTTATTGGGATTTACTGTTACAAAAATTATGGACTTACTGTATTTTTGCTCCTAGTTTAAGAAAAATCATGGACTGTTTATTTTCTTAATTTCAGATGCTCATTTTCAATGTTACGTATTAGATATACTGCGAAAGTAGTACAAATTAACCCCCAAATATAGTACAGTTGTTAACCCCCAAGTATCAATATCTCAATTTTGACCAAAATTGGAGAGATTGCTTTTTCTATTCTATTATAGAATTTTTTTTTATATATAATATAATTTATATTATATTATAATTAAAAGTTTTTTATATATCTTTATTTTTTTTTATATATTAAAAAAAAATTAATTATAAAAAAGCAAAAATAGTGAGTTGTTCTGCTCTACCCCTTCCCAAGCTGGTAAAGGAGCTAACTGGGGGTGAAATTAAGAAAAATTTGATTTTATCGAGTTTATTTGGTTTCTGATGTCATTAATAGTTTTTTAATTAGAAAAGATATATATATATATATATATATATATATATATATATATATATATATATATATATATATATATATATATATATATATATATATATAAGGAAAGATAAGTATATTTTTAAATTTGTTAATAGATGGGTGCATCATCTCGTGATCCTGTAGAAGTTCCTTTTATACTATTGCCAAGTAAGTAACCATGTTAAAGTGACCATATTAAATTATTATATGAATATGGTGATATGTTCATTTATGTACTGATGGTATATCTAAGATAAAAAAGTCTTTAGAAATTGAGAAAGTAACAAGGTTATACGAGAAGATATATGTGTATGATATATTGCTCAAACAGCTAGTATTAACAAGGCTATTATCTAGTATTAAATTTTACTTTTTTTAACTGAATGACACTTTTATAATATTCAGTTAAGAAAACTTTAATTTAAACAAAAAAAAAAAATTTAACAATTTAACATATATTAACATTTTTTTTTAATGAATTTCAAAATAATAACACATCTTCCCATCGGTAGTATTGATGTATAGTATTGATGTTCATTCAATGTTGAGTTGCACACTTTAAAGTCAGGTTGAGTTTTTTAATGGTAGTGTTGTTTTAATTCCATTAGACATTTTTTCTTATTTGATTCAAACTTTTTTATAGTGTGTCTTTTTCATGCATGACCTTTTTTTTATTATCATTCGAAAGCCTTTTTTCTTAATTATCTTAACCATTTTGTCTTAGTATTGTTTGAAAGCATTTTCCCTAAAAATAAAGTTTGGTTTTCAGTTGGTTTTATAAAATTTAAGTTCACTGAAAGAAAAAAATTTTTTTTTATTCTGATTTGCTGTCTAATTTTCTATTGTTTGTATGACAATTGTAAATGGTAGATTTTTTCCATGTTTTGTATTTGTATATTATATATATTTTGGGCTACATAAGTTAAACAACTTTTTGTTTTTAGAACAAGATTTTTTAAAACTATTAACCATGACATTAGTTTTTTGTTGTTAAATTATTTAATATTTTAAAATCGAACAAATAAAGTATAATTATAGTAATAATATTTAAAAATTAACTTAAGTGCAACTTAGATAGACTGCATAGAGCTATAAGAAAGATTTAGCTATAAACTACTTGTTACATACCAAGTGCTAAAGGTGAATGAAATTGTAATGTTTTGAAAATATTTTCAACTTTAGACATGACAAATGAAGGTCAGTTTGCATTTATCGTTGACAGCATTGTAATGGCACAATGGTTAAGAGGAACACTTACTTATATTACCAATGTAATTATCTTTTTTAGTTTTCAAAAATGTTATTTTTTTTTTGTTTTGTTTTTTATGAATTAGTTTCTGTATATAGGATGGAGAATCAAGTACCAGTGAAAAATTAGATTTCAAAATAAATTTTCCAGTTTCCATACACATCCAACAACAGCATATATCCAGGTATATCTCTAACTTAAGTTAAAAGTTATATATTGTATACATACATGCATACCTACATACATACATACATACATACATACATACATACATACATACATACATACATACATACATACATATTGGTAAATTGGTAAAAAAAAAAAAAAAAAAAAAAGGTAAATTTAAAAAAATATAAATTCTTTTTAGATGATAATATATTTGATTCATAATTGATAATTGAGTGTAACAAATGAAAGACTAAAAAACAGCAGTTTTGTAATTTTATATATATATATTTATATATATATATATATATATATATATATATATATATATATATATATATAACAAAAAAAAAAAAAGCTTTCAGAAACCCCTTTAAAAAAGTTTTAAGTGTTTTTTCTATTAAAGAAGTGTCGGGCTGTCACTTATTCTAAATCAAATTTCTGTAACAAATAATACCTAAAAACCTAAAAAGGTTAAAAGTTAACCTAAATAGTTTAATACCTAAAAATGCTCGGATTTAATACTTGTTGAGAAAAAAGAGAATTCTGTTTTAATACTTATTTGAAATAGACTTAAACTCAACATTGGAGTTATACCTCTGCTTTTTTTTTTAATTTTTGATTTCAGTTAAATTTCTGGAATCTTTCCTGCAAAGTGTTTTTGCTGTCTATTTGACTGGTTCAAGAGCACTAACAATGTCAGTCAAAATGTTCAACTTTTCTTCAGTGCAAGTGAGGTTTGGAGATATATCAATCAGAATGATTCTGATTTGATGATTGATTTTAAGAAACTACTGAATCAACAATCTAAAATAATAGTAATTTCTTTGCTATGTAGTTTTTTAACTTCTTTTTGGAGCAATCGCTTTTATACTGGAGATTTCTGTAATAACTTGACAATTTTTGAACTTTCTTGTTAATAGACTTTTACCCTTGTTAATGCAATGCTTTGATTGATTTCATGATCAGTGAGTCTGAAATTTTCTTCATTGTCATCATTGCTTTTATTTGTTATCACTGACAACTTTGTTTCTCCGTGCAGCAGCCTTGTTCAGCAAGGTTCGTGTTTTGGAGTTATAGAGTAGAGAGAGGGTTTTAACCACAATTAAGTAACCTCCTCATCTACAGTGGCCATCTTGGATTTGAGGAGGTAAATTTACAAAAGAAAATAAAAAAATCCTTGGTGGCATTTTCCTTGTCAAAAATGTATTTGGTTCTTAAGTTATCGTTAAAAAAACATACGTATATTTTTCTTGTACAAAACCTCATGAACTGCCAGATAAACTTCATGGGTGTATGGTGTAACTCCATGGGTGTAGCAAGTTTGATGATCAGTGGTAACAATTATTCCAAACTCATTTAAGTTCCATCAGTGATAGAAAAAACAACACAATCAGCAAAATTCAATTGGAATTCTGTTCTCTCTCTCTGAGACTATTTCTGATGCTTTTTTTTTCAGGACAAGAACCAGAAATATGTGTCCAAGATTCCATTGTTTGTGTTTATGAATAATGTTAATGTTTAGAAATCTTCTGTTTTTCATTCAGTGAAATGGAAAAATATTTTCTATTCAACAACAATGATCTTAGTTGATCTTTTAGTTTGTTTTTAACATTTACATACTTTTTTAATTACTAAATTGCTTGTTTGTGATTTTTCAGAAAATCATTATTTTATCATTAGTAGAATGGAATTAATTTAAACCTGGTAGAAGAAAAAAGAGATTAAAAAATAAAAAGAAGTAAGAAATAAAAAGAAGTAGAAAAATTAGTAGAATGGAATTAATTTAAACCTGGTAGAAGAAAAAAGAGAAATAAAAAAAGTTATGAGCTTTAGTGCTGGCAGGGTCAGGTTACTAAGGTTACTACTAAGGTTAGGTTATTCAGTGTGATGAACATTATTTTCACCAATAACAACAAATTTGCCTAAGGGATAAAGAGAAATTCGATCAGAAATAACATTGAAAAGAGTCTTGAGGAGGAAAAGAACAATAAAGAACAAGAGAATGGGAATAATGCAAAAAGGTACTGAGTGGAAACATAAGGGAATCATCAGCAGATTCAAACCTAGTTTTACAACATCAAATAGTATTTACGTCTGGATGGATTTTTTTCTTAAAATTTTGATTTCTAAAAAAAAAAATTATAATTTTATAAATTTATAAAACTCATTGTAAAACTAACTCTATTAAATGAAATTAACTATATTACAATTTTTCTATCCAAAATAAATGTGACAAAAGTAGAAACATCTGAGTTTTTATTATGAAGTATAATGTTTTGTCAACTATTAAAAATGATTTTTATTAAAAACATTTTGTTAAAGTTATTAAAAAGAAGCATTTTAAACTATATTTTTTAGG